CAAAATGTCTGACACTACCCACCCTACCACAGTAAAACTGACATGTATAATAAAACTGGAAAACAAACTGTGCTATAAAAAAGTGGGAAGTATTCAGATTTTGCTGAGTTGTTTCCATACCAAGTCTCATATTTCCCATCCAGATGAGCCAACACAAAAGTACAACTTTATCACCGTACAACCTTCTTCAAGAGTGGCCCCATCTCCCAAACGACCACCACTGTTATCCAGTGACCTTTTGAACCCAACCCAAGTGCAGTTCATGAGTGGGTGACGGTGATGTTATTCCACCACAAACACACTTCCTGCTAGTTCATCTTAATGGCCTGTGGTTAGCTGAATCATTTTTGGGATAAATTAGATCTCACGGGTGACCAACAAGAATAAAAGATGTGTTTGAACTATACTTCCTGAATTGATCTGTGGCAAAGTGATCTCAATCTGAAGAAGCAGCTGAATGGAATTGAAGTGGACTAGTTGTGGTTTACATAATGGCTTTAACAGTGACATATCCGGACCTAGGCCATCAAGTATGGACCTTTAACATTTTACGATGTCTCAGGAGCATGATTTGCAAGTAGGGACAAACAGGCTGGTTGGATTTAGTGCTGCAGCTGTTTCAGTTTGTCCACTGCATGTTGAAGATAAGCCAGAGATAAATTATTTTTCCGAATGCAAAGAGCATCAAGTAATCAGCACTGTAAATTATATTAACATGTTCTTTATTATTATCAGTTAACTATTTTATAAGGACAGTTACCTGGGGCAACAGTGGTGGGTAGAGCAGTCATCTCCCAACCGGAATGTTGGGGGTTCGAATCTCGGTGCCTGCAGTCCACATGTTGAAGCGTCCCTGGGCAAGACACTGAACCCCCCAAGTTGCCCATGATGGCGGCATGTATGCATGCAGCGGCCCGAGGCTCTCGGCTCCAAACAAAATTTCGTTGTACATTACAATAAAATAAAGCTTCTTCTTCTTACCACAATTGGAACACATTCTGTACACAGACACACAGCAGGCACCCAATGCTCTTACGACAGCTGGAACCTTTGCTTCATGGTGTTTACACGGAAAGCCCTGGCAAAGAATCTTAAGTAGTTCAGAGGTTCCTGTTGGCCACAGGCTTTTAAGGATGCTTTGAAATGATATCGCTCATGTGAAGTGAAACTCTACCAAGTACACAATGCAGGTGCACAATCCAAGTTTGGTGTTAATAAAAACTTAGTCGGACCTCATTTTATTTATGGAAATCTTTTTGTACAGCTCTAAAGTAAAAGTAATAAATCTGACACTGTGCATTTCTCCTGTAAACCGTGACCAGAGGCCTACAGCTCCTGAGTCCCTTACTGTGGCCCCTCTCTTCATACGACTACAGCATGCCGTCTCCCTGACTCGATGACCTACAGTTTGTGTCCCAGCACTGCATCGCACGACCCACTGAGTCAGTGGAAAACTCATTTAGGCCTAATTACACGGGCCAGCCTTCTGCCTCTCACTTACTTTCTTTCACTGAAGAGGCACTTTTTCTTTTCCCCCCCTTCTCTTTTCTGCTTTGCTCTCTCACTGTCCTTGTCTCTTTGCTCTCCCATTTCTTCTCTCCTCATGCTCCAGTTACAGGATCAAGGTAGCCCCGCACTACCAGTCAGCCAGAACACACATGCGCAGGACATCCAACACTCTAATGTGGCCAAGAGGCCACAGGTACACAAGTACAAAAGCTTTTAGATGGTGCATTGTTATTTCTTCAGGGTCAGCCATAGGTTAGGGCCCAGTCTTAATTAGTTGACATAACTTATACATGACTACCCCTCTTCAGGTCCTATGATCCCCAAACACACAGACACACACACACACATGCCTTTCTAAGACCTAAAGTCAGCAAGTGAAGAGAGTTTGTCCACACGTATATCCTCTGTCCCCTAGGTGCAATCCATTTAACCCTATCCAGGAAGCAAAAAAAAAACAACAACAACAAAAAAAAAAAAAGACCACCAACCCCTACATACAGTAGCAAGCAGCATGTCTAAAGTTTGAAATCGAGGGGGAAGGTAGGTGAAATGTAAGGAACCCTGGAAGGAACCTTACCCCAGAACGCCAGAAAACAATGGCACAAAAACAACGTCAGAAACAAAAGTCATATTAATGATAGATGACAGTCTGGGGTCACAGTGCAGGTCGTATGTCAGGACTTGGTACATCACCAGGAACCAATAACGGCAAACAGGGACAAGCGACAGGTAGGATTCCCACCTTAGATATACAGTGGCTTTAGAAAATATTTAGATCCTTTCACCTTTTGCACATTTTTGTGTTCTAAATTTTTAAATGATTAAAATTGCCCTTTTGCCCATCAGTCAAGACAGAATCAATAGTGCCAAAGTGAAAACCTCCATCCATTAGCTCTACTGATCATCAGGGGAAGGGTTGTGGAGGGACCCAGCTGACACCTGGGTGGTAGATGGGGTACACACCGGACAGGTTGACAGTCTATCATAGTCTCTAAAGTCTTGGAAAAACCAGGACTTTAGAGTCAGCTGTCCAGCCAAATTGAGTAAACAGGGCTTTGATCACAACAGTCACTAACAGAACTTTCCTATTCCTAGAACCTGCAGGAAGGACACATTTCAGCAGCTCTCCATCAATCAGGCCCTTATGGCAGAAAGGCTGGACAGAACACACTTTAAAAGACATATGACAGCCCAATTAGAATTTGCCAAATGACATTTAAATGATTCAGAGCATGAGGAAAAAGACTCTGTGATGAGACAAAAATTGAACCCTTTGGCCAGAACTCCAAGCTCTATGTGAGCTGAACACTAGGCACTGCTCATCACCTGGCTAACGCCATCCTCATGCTGAAGCACGGTGATGCTTCTCATTGGCTGGCATCTACACACCACCATTACAAGTCATTAACTGTGCGTCTCCTCTCTCTTGTAGTGTCTAGACCTTACTTTGTAAAGTGTCCTGAGATGACTTTTGTTTTCATTTGGTGCTATACAAATAAAATTTAATTGAATGAATAACTACAAAGTATGCAGGTGTGCAAAGCTTGTACAGACTTACCAAAGATGGGTCAAAGTTGTAATTGCTGCCAAAGGGGGCTTCCACATGGTACTGAATTCAGGGTCTAAGTACTTTGTAAATGTGAGGTTTCAGTTTTTGATTGTCGTTACATTTGCGAAAAATTCTAAAAACATGTTTTCATTTTGTCTTTATAGATTATTGAGTGTAGAATGATGTGTGTGCAAAAACTGAAGGGGTGCAGTGCTGACTGTAATTTGCCACCCTGAATTACACTCAGTTATTGGAAAGCATTTTGCATTTGCAGCCGCAGCCTGAGATGGTAGGGTTACAGCGCGCCCGATCGATATCTAGTCCAAAGAGCAGACGCCACAGTCACAGGAATTAACGTGCTTGTGTCTATAAACATAAACTGAAATCCCTTCTGCAACCACAAGAGATAAAAACAACTGCCACCATTACCAGTCTATATCACACTTCCAGAAAGTTTAGGTACACTCAGGATATGGTATTAATTTGTTTGGGAAATGCTTACTGCTCTGTATTGTAATAGGGCTCAGGGGAATGGATGAGACCCAAGGCCAAAACATAAGAAAGGAGGGGTGAGCATCAAGGACAACAACAACTTAGTGATGCTCTAGTAATGGAGAGCAAGTGGGTCAGAGTACTCACTCTGGCAGGCAATAACACACTTTGCACACACATGGCATTATAACACAGATGCAAATGTAAAGATCAAGTACTTAGTATTTGCACATGCATCAAAATGCATATTTTTAAATGTGTAAAAGCAGGAGCACATTCAAAGAGACAATCCAGGTGCTGCAGATAAACAGGGAAATTTGACTAAACTTGGCCCATGTACATCACAGTGACATCAATTAATGTGTTTGTCCCTGATAAAGTAAATAAAAACCACACACACACACACACACACAATCTCTTCACTCTCAAAGATTGCTCACCTCAAATTCACCAAACCTCTTAACTGCAAGGGTTTTTAATGTGTTTTAATGTCTCTGGGATGTTTAACTGCAAGGCCGCCATTTCACTAAGTAGCCTACTGCACTGTGCATAAGGGAGGGGTTAAAAGTTTCACTGGCTGACAGTAAACAAATCTAAATAATTCAGGAGAAATTAACATTTTATTTATTTGTTATTTGTCAATTATTGTTTCAGAGATATAATTCAGCTGTGTGTATGCCACATAAAGTGGCATACACATATATACATATATAGAACAGAAATGAGGAATCCATCGCTTTAAAAAGAATATATAGGCCTACATATTCGTATATAGCAACTGTTAACGTAAAGAGATAACACTGACAAAATATAAAGACAGGTTTACACTGGTCAAACATGGTGTAGTGCTGTGTTAAGGATTAAAAGGTACGAGTTCAGCACACCTGAATAGTTTGTATATAAAGATCATGTCGTTGTTCTAATCAGCACATATTTGAATAACCCAATTTAAGCTTTCAACTCATACCCTGCTTCTCACTCAGAAGCCCTTTATTAATGCGCTTCTACCGCCCTCTACTGGCTATTAGTATATAACATATTGCACCAAGTACACCAGTCACACAACTGCCAAAACTTGTTACATGAATGTTTACACAACATTCAACTGTATATCTAGGACCATCCTTTTAGATATAAAACAAAAATGAGCTATCTAATAACTCCTAAACTGTGCATCTATTCATGGAATTCAACATATAGAGGCTGCTGTATGCAGAGGAAGACACACTTCTACCTATGCTTACAGAAAACAAAGGCTTTGTGAATATTGCATCATGAAATTTGAAAGTCAAATGTAAATGAATGCTCTATACCCAATCACAGTTAAGGTTAAGACCTAGTCTACCAAATCTGTCTCTCCTATCTAGAAGCCTATGATTTGTTCTTAACCTACAGTCTGCATGGCTGTTGTTTATGGAGGGAGGTTAGAGAGAAATCTTTTTAGACTTACTTCCAAGTTGGCATAGCTGCGAGCATGTCCCCACAAAAGGAGCCAACCATAGGATGTGTTGTCCTTCAGGTTTTACTGGTGGATTCAACAAGAACAAAACTAATCAGCAAATGGAGGAAAGACGACCTGGGCTCTTGCTAGCTTAATCTAAATGCCAGTTCAAAATGTCCGCCAGAAGTTACCTGCCTCCCCCTTCTCTTGACCACACCTGGTACCCAAGAGCCTAATTAATTTAAGCTCCGCCCTGTACTGACCTGACATTGATGTAAGAGAAGACTGTGAATAGCAAGTTGCCTCCCGAAGACAGACATGATATTAAGGTGGTTATGTACTTTATCAGAGGAACAAAATGAAAAGCTTTTATTCTGAAATTTTTTTACAAGTTGATCAGCTAATAGTTGTATAGGAGTCTCTTACAACATGTGAAAACTGGGGAACATATGGCGCCTCATGGCTCAGTAAAGTAATAAAAGGTTTTGTTCTGTACTTTCCAAGACCTGCAAATACCAGGATGACACAATCTCCAGTTGAATTAAAACAGCTTTATTTGAGTACACTGGAAGAAGTTGTATGTATACTGTAGGTAGAATAGTTGGAAAGCCTATGAAGAGCATAGTGTCTGAAGGAGACAGAAATCCTAACAGCTTGTCTAATGGAGTACACTGTTGATAGCAAGAAAAAGGAACAGCATGTATGGTAAAATATTAGTACAACTACACAATAGTATCACTAGTGATGTAAAAACTTTACTTTCTCCAAAAAGCCACCTTCTTAGAAATTCATCAGGAAGAGGCCTGTTTGGGGATACAGAATTGTCATCACAATAAGGAGGGGGAAAAAAAAAAAAAAACAAGAACCACAATATGTAATCAGTAACAGGGATGTGGACCCTCAGGATGTGTAGATAAAGCCTATGTGACACCTCATTTGGTCTCGGTCATGGGGTACAAAAGTGGATACAATGACTTTTGCTGGACCCTGGCAATATGCATAAAACAGTATGTTTAGCAATCAAAAAAAAAAAAAAGGAATAAAAATAACGAAATGTTTCGGAGTATTGTTTCTGCATAGAACAAATATGTGGGTTAGCAATGACACATCATCCTTAAGAGGAAACATTACATTCTCATATTAGCATGAATATGGACTTTGGCAATGTCCTGCCAAGTTTTTCCCCCTAACAAAACAAACAAACAAAAAAAAGTGTACAGGTAGATATACATACAGAGAGAAAAACATCACAGCATTTGGCTGGTTTAAGTCTGGGTAAAAAAACAAACAAACAAAAAAACAACAGGCCTTCCTTAAAATGCATCCTTCATGGTTTGCCTGGGTCAAACAAATAGAAAAACAAGATTGTCCTGCAGGACCATCATCTACTTTTGAGATTTCAGTCAATCTTTCAATTTGGTTTTGCTAAAGTACATCACCCTGTGAAAGAGGAAGTCAGCTATCAAGTTTATAATCTAAACCTTCATGTGGTGATCTACAGCATATTTACGAACATACATTTCCCCTCACATTGAAGACGTGAGCAAGTAAGATAAAAAAAAAAAATAAAAAAAATAAAAAAAAAAAAGACACAACAGATGCAAAAAAAAAAAAAAAAAGAAATAGGTGTAAAATGACTAAACCAATTCAAAATAAGTTTAAAAATGTGACCTTCGAGAACACAACCACAGTCCAGCAGACTGAACAGCATCTCTATAGCATCAGTAGCTCTCTGATAGTTTCGGACAGTGTGACTGGTCTGGACTACATCTGCACAGTCAGCACTCACACAAACAGGAGGACAGCCACTGTGTTTAAACGAAGTAAGGCTTTATTAGAAGTCTAATAATGTGGAGGATCATGGTCCCCTAAATAGTTACCAAAGCCCAACATTCTTTAAAACTAGTCAACCTGGAACCACAAGTGCATCAAAATAACACTTTGTCCCTTGTTTCCTTTCAGGTCCCATCAGCACAGCAGACAGTGAAACAACAATCCAGTGCACCTCTACAAACAGTCCTCTAACAGGCCTCGTCTGGAGGTTCAACCACAGTCAGACCATCCTAACCCAGACCGGGCCTGACGGCCTTGTCAACGTGTCAGAGGGGTGGGAGCATCATGTGAAGAGTGTGTCAAAGTCGGGCAGCCTCACACTACAGAAGTTATCTTCAAACCATGAGGGAGTGTACACCTGTGAGCTCAGTGGTGCTGAGCAGACGACTGTCACCAGCACCTTTCTGAGGATAGACACAGGTAAGGAATAACAAGTGTCCATCTGCAGTGTCTGTGCTGTACACCCAAGTATTCACACTTATAGCAACATGACTCACTGTGTCCAGTCACTAGTCACTCACTGTGCTGAGGTGTGTCCATCAGCCTCACACGTTCTGGTTCATTTTTATTAGACTGTGCAAACACAGAACTGCCCATGTTTTGGGTGGAACATAAAGGGAACCTACCGACCCGCAGTTATGGTGTTCCAGGTGCTGATCTTAGTGCTGAACCTACAGAGAGTTATCAGCTGGATGTGAAGCTCCCAGTGACTTTCCTGAGCTTTAAGAGTCATTGTTTAGCTGTCTGGGCCTCATGTTACTGTTCTTTAAAAAAGTGAATGTGTTCACATACAACAGCATCACTGGGAACCAAGTTCAGACCCTCATCAGGTTTTTATCACAGTCTGAAGAAAAGTCAAGATGTCTGGAATGTGACAGTATTAGCTAAGACTGTGTACAACTAGTCGCAGTCATGTGTATTTACACGAGCCATCCTGTTTTCATAACAACATTCTGCTTATGTAGTCGATCCTGGGATACACGAGGAATATATTTACTGTAAACAGGCCTCAAATGGGACATAAACTGTGCGCATGTAAACACAGCCACTGTAAATTACCAGTGTACAACAGTGGGAATTAAACACATGCAGTGCTGAAACTGGCAACAGCTTTTACACCGTGTACTGGAATGATATATAAAGTAAGACAAGATTCAACTAATTCACCTTCAAAAGTACGATATTATAAAATTACTGCCAACTGCTCTGACACTGCATATATAAATACTGTTTGCCAGCTGCTAGAGTAACTCCTTGTTTCCCCCCCCCCCCAAAAAAAAAAAAAATCTGAATTTAAACAGCTTCATTTTCATGTCGTACTGCAAATTAATGTTATTAAACAGGTATCTTCATTTGTAGAACTAAGCCAAACCACACTTCAAAAAAGGGCATTAGCAAGTGTAAATAATAAGATTAAACCAACAAAGTTCAATACCTGATAAATGGAGCCATTAGGTTTTTTTAACAGGTTTAAACAGTAGATCTGCAGTGTACAGGAGATACTGTGAATTCATGCATTGAGACTTCAACACACTTTGAGCTGAGAAATTAGTAACAGTAAGGCAAGAAACTACCTTTAACAGTTTAATCAGCTAAAAGGCCAGTGAGGATGAAGGAAACTGGATGGTAATTATGACAACTTGGCCTCTAAGCCATTGAACTGAAGAACTGTTTTCAGCAATGAATTCAGTGAAAGTGTTGTATCCTATGCTACATACCTCACAAATCATCATCACACTGTGATTACTTCAAACACAGGGCATATTCTAAAAAAAAAAAAAATCCAAATAAAAAGAAAAATATTTAAATGCTTTAAATATATTTTTAAAGAAAGAAAAAAGTAAATACAAAAATGTCACTAAAACAACACATAAAGAAAATAACTGTATGGTATAACTAGCTTGTGAAATACTTAAAGCTTAAATACTTGGGAGATAAATGACACCAAAATTTTAGATCGGGGCAAAAATTGAAAGATTAAAATCAAATGAACTCAGCCAGACACTTTCAATAATAGTCTGGACAATATTGAGGACACGACTCTTTAGAGCTGCATACTGAATGCTCATAATGAATATAAAAAAGATATTTTGTTATTGACTTTTCACCATTCCTATCTGTACATATCAAAGGATTTCTTGCTGTATTTTACATCAAAAGCAACTTTCTTGATGCTGCATAATTTGGTGGCAGTGCAAGTACAGTGTAGAAACCATTTTTAAAGTTCCACATTGCACGATTTTTCTATCAATGAAATCTCAATGATGGGGAAGCCCTGTATCAGTCCAAGCATATACATTAGTGAGGGGTGTTTTGTCTTTTTTTTTTTTTTTTTTTTGGTTAGACAGCAGGAGATTCTTGGGTTTATACATCCCGATCCCACCTAAGTCTGACAGGATTCCCCTTCATGTACAAGGGAATACAATTATAAAAAAATATAATGGAGAGAAAGTATGAAAGAGAGAGCAAGAGCATGCCAGGCAAAAACAGAGATAGTGCACATTGCTGGAAGGAGGGAACAGTTAACGGTGATTAACTCTTTATGCATTTATCACTGTCTAAAAGTTCAAAGATTTAAGATGTATGAAGTTCCAGAGGGATGACGTGTCATACGCTCTTGCTCTGAGGATTCCTTAGCTTACCCATTCCAGTTATCCGTGTTAGCCACTGACCACACAGTCAAATAAAAACTCCTCACAGAAGAATAAAAGACATACTCCCTGTTTCAGCTCTGATCCAGACTCAAACATCAAGCCTCTGCACATCCGCTGTTGAATAGGACCAGTCGACATTTAGTGCAGACGAAATGATTTGTCAAAACAATTTTGTTCAAATAGCTAGTTAAGTGATATATTAACTTCAAAAGTGTGTCTGTGTTACAGAATATGTGTTCATGTAATATTAATTACAGACATGAACTTGTTCTACCACTGGTCAACCATGTAAGAGCTGAAGACTACTTGTGGGAAAAAAAAAAATATATATATATATATATAGTAAAGTGGAGATAAAACTGGAATGGGAATTTGGTCACTAAAACCAAGAAACACTAAGAAATTCCTGCCCAGGTGTGAAGCTGACTGTGGTTGGTCTTGAGCCTGGTGTGGCAGTACTACAACTGGTCAACCTTATGTAAACAAAAAGCTTGATGCCAAATCAAACCTTGTGCTGTGGCAGCTGGGTAGTGAAGAGGCAAGGTGGGCTAATAGTTGAAGAGACTGTTCTGCAACTACAAGGTCACATGTCCAAACCCAGAAACAGCCGCTGTCATGTCACTAAGGAGGACAGAGCTTTACTGTCCTCCTCGGCATTTCTGGATTAGGGCCTCAGGCAAATACCAAAGAAATAAACGTAGTCTGCTTCATTATGACACCACCCTCTTGTCATTCTGATATTGAGGGGAACATTTCAATTAATGAGGTCCATGATTACTGGATTGTCAGCTTGAAGTTTTTCCAACACAGCCAAAGGTAATCAGGTCCAATGTGACATCACTGTTAATATTCCATTCCTGTACATAAGTCATGTCATCCTCTCATCCACCAAGGTCATTGTGTAGTTTTATTTTATTTTTTTTAATTTCGGTTTTGTTTTCAAAATGTTAACAGTGCATCAGTTTAATACTGTATGGCTGCCTTTAGGACATACTGTGTCCAACACTGTGTCTGCAGCAGCAGGACCCTGTTTAGGACATACTGGAGCAACGCACTGAGGGCGAGCCCATCTGGGTCAGCACCTTATCCAACCACTGGAGGGGGCCGTTGAGATGCAGCTCAATCCAACAGGGGGTGCTGGTTACTGTCTGACGTCTGTTGGGATAAGCACAGGAGTAAAGACAAAAACTTCACAGTAGTTCTGCTTGGTCCCACCCTGACTAAAAGAGGTATGACTTGTGGTATGATATGGTCCTTCACTGAAAATAATGTTAGCCAAACCACCAGTATAAAACACAGGGCAGCAGCCTGTGAGTCAGTGTCCAGTGCAGATGGAATAGTCGCTCTATGCACCAAGCAGTATTTGGACAGTCTCCAGACTTTGCTGTGATCGAGCCAGGCCAACATGAGCTCAGTCATTCTAGGCTTAATTATTATGATGGCACTTTGGTGACAAGCTACCTTTAGCTACCATTTACTGTGGCCAGCAAACCTGCGAGTGCAACATAAGGATATTACAACTGTTTATGTTTTTTTTTGTTTTTTTTACAAGCATGGTATTAGGAATAGTCAGAAAAAATTATCTTAATAACCAGGCCCGCTTTGTGTCGTGCTCATGCTTGAGACAAGATCATCTCCAAAGAGATGGGTGGGGGTTTAAAAACTGTCCTGGCTACTATGTCAGGGAAAATCAGATAAAAATAACAAGGTTTTATGACTCAAATACTATATCAAGTATCCACAAATATGTATTCATGACAAATTATTCCAGCAGATTATTTAAAGGTTAGAGGGCCCTTGACCCAGTGTTCTCCTCATGTCGGCGGCCCTGGTAATTAGACTGAAATAATCTTTGACTCTCCTGTTAAGACTCAGTCAGACCAGCATTTACTTGATGACACTCCCCATCTCCTCAAGTGGGGGGTGAAGCCGAGCTAAGCCAGGCATCACACTATCCAGTTTTACATACAGTAACTCACTATGCCAAAGCAGAAGCGATGCCAAAACAGCTCATCTCTTCATATTTTGCCGCAAACAAAACTAGCCACAACAGTAGCCATTGCACATTTGACCATGACAAGGATACACAAATGAAATTCTCAGTTTATCATTTGCTATTTTTCTACATAACGCACCTGTACTCTGCTCCCCAGCCCTTGACGAAGCTCATTCTGATGGTGCACATCCTGGTTAGTTGGTAGACTGCCTCAAACCCCTGATTGACTGACTGGGCCAGCAATGCCGCAAACTCCTGGTTGTTAAAAATCTTCAGATTACAGCCTAAAAAAAAAGAAAGAAGGGAAGTGTGAAGCACAGGCTGGTCAACAGCATCAGAGAGTTCATTCAGAACCTGGAACCTGTTTCTCCATTTTAGTAGAGGAAGATGCTGTGAAAACAGCAGGGACAATGATGAAGATACATCCAGGATGAAGTCTTGTAGGTTTGTATTTTAAGAAAGTTTTAGAATATTGTCAAAAACAAAACCCAAAATCTAACTATGACAACAACAAAGTCTGTTTTGAAAACCTGACATTTTTTCTTCATCATTTCTTTAAACATAACTTAATCAGGCAGATGCCTTGAGAATCTTGTGGGTGTATTGTATGTTGGTGATTATTCTCCATAAGGCTGACAAGCCCGACCCCTGAATGTCTTCCTTTGTGTGATCCTTGTGTTTCCTTTCTGCACAATTGTGCGTCTCAGTAATGATACTGTTCACAGTGCTCATTTGGCCAGGAATGAAATGTTCAAAGTTACATGGGTACGGATGAGTCAGTGTGTATGTGGGTGAGAGTCTGAGAAAAACTGTCACACTTTGGAAGACATTAGTGCTCTTCCTCAAGCTTCATTTCATTAATATCAGCTAAAATAAAAGTCATGTTTCACAATTCAAACAGGACTACATCCACCATAAGAGTGAGCCGCTATGTACCAACAGCTACAGAGCTGTTTGGTGGTACTGACGCCTGTTCCTCATTGGGATCCAAACTACAAGTCAAGTTCCAGTAGGAGCTCAATCGAATTTTTGACAATAAACTCAAACATGGCAAATATATTATTTTTGTCAGTGGTATAAAATTCATGTGGTGCAAAAGAAAAAAAGTACTATCAGTGTGTCTACCTGGTGGTATCTTGCAGACTGTGGCCGGGTGCCAGCCATATCGCTGGTTGCAGTTGGGACTCTGGACAAAAATGGCACTGTCGCTGAGGCACTCGGCGAACACCTCCCCTCCGATGTAATACAACCTCACTCCTCGACCTGTGGTGAAAACAGCAAATTAGTGTGAAGATAAAGGGATAAAAGAAAGGGAGCAAGACATAAATCATAAACAAGGCTTAAAGTTATGGCTTGAACATGTATCAGTGAAAGTAAGAAGAGTAAGTGCTTAGTGAAGTTTTAACAGCTCTTATTGTGGGAACTACTTCCACTGTATTTACAAGTTTCCACCTCTGTAAAGATGCTGTTAACTTTGCTCAAGAACATCAGTCTAATGCTGGAAAGGAGTGCTGCAACACCTGCGTTGTGAAAATTCTGTGAACCTTTTCTACTGATTATTATGTTTACAAAGTGTGTGCACTTGTACCTATATGTCTCCTTGTCATTTCAACAGTTGCGTTCCTGTTGACATTGCTGAGAAGCCCTAGACAAAAGCGTTCAGAGTTGGAGGGGTCAGTGAAGCCGTCGACAGTCAGAGATGGCTGTGAGGCGTGGAACGTCTCGCCAACCCGCTGGTTTAGCTCATAGTAGGCTATAGAGCACCAGAAAGCTGGTTCACTGTAGGTGACGGGCTGAAGGTCTGAAACAGAAACGAGGAGCAAACATTTGACACATTCTCCCAAATTTAATAGCTTTTCCAGAAATTAACTTTTGAGCAGAATTTTAAGATTTCAGCTCATTTTCAAAATAACATTTCCCATTTGAACTAACTACAGAAAACTAATTGAGAAACAAATGAAATCATCCTACCGAGGCCATGACTGACAGGTGATAGGGTACTTGGAGACATTTCTGCTGGTGAGCCTGGAGAAAAATAAATAAATAAACAAGACATGTAACACCTTTTTGTAATCTATATTACATTTAATATAGCGTGTAAACTGAGGTATTTAATGTAACCAATACTGTTTGCAGTGCTTATGTTCCCTGCTGCAATGACGTACTGTATGTTTGTCAGCATAATACAAAAGAAGTGGCTGTGAGTACGATTTTAAAATTGTCAAAACAAACCTTTTGACGATTTTTCCAACAACTATTTTCCAAAAAGTCACATACACAGCAGCATGCACAGCGCACACTAAACTAGTCTACTCAATTGCATACTTTGATTCATCTGTTGGTCGCTGGTCTCCCCATCTTCACTGATGTAGCCAGGCGGAGGAGTCTCTGTACAGGAGCAGGACGCAAGAATACACTTTAAACCCACTGCTACATATATGAGACAGAATTGAGGTCTTTGTGTGGCAGCAGGTCAATATGCAGTAAAGGTTGTGTGTATGATCATATGTACAGTGGAAAACAATCCTACCTTTGATGACTTTTTATTAAAAATACATTTTACTGACTTGTATGGCAGCTAATGTAAGAAGTGAATAAAAAAGGAAAACATTTACATTTTTGCCCCGCACACAGACCTGGTATATAGTTATTAGGAGGATCTATGTCAACAGGGAAGCTGGTGTTTTCGGGGATGGAGTTTGTAAAGTCGTCTAGAGGGGGAAGCTCTGTCAGAATCTCTGTATGGCGTGGCACCAACACTGGAGGCAGCACTGGAGAGAGAAGGCAGTGTCACTGACAGAGGTAAATATGATTTACAATATGAACCAAAACTTTATAATACACTCCTTTTTCTAACAACATTCTGCCTCACACACACACACACACACACACATAACCACATCTAAAGTGGCTTCAACAGCACATTCTAGCAATATTATAAGTAACAATGGAACTCCAAACAACTGCGGTTGTAATGACCACTGTCATTATCCACTAGTTAGAGGGCATCTTGAAGATAACTGCTAGCAGTACTCAGTAAAAACACTTTAGCTAAAACACACACACAGTTTTCAAGGATCATTACCAGGTGTCTCCACTCTCTGGTAATGGTAGGGATTGACACACACTTCATCCTTCTTAAGGTTGAAGGCGTACAGGCAGGTGTCAATGGCCCTCAGCTCATGGTGGCTGTGAAGATCGGGCCATCTCCACAGGCGGCAGTAGATGACGTGGGGCAGGCCCTTACGATGGGATACCTGAAGACGACCATCCAGTGACCTGAGAAAGTTGAGAGAGGGTGGCTAATAGCTCAGTGATGTTCCCAAGTCTTGACAGGAGACTAAACTGGGTGGAACTCCTAGAGGTGTTTGTGCCTTTTAAAGTTGCTGGTTTGCTAGTGTGTACCGAGACAAAGACAAACTGGAGCATGAAACAAAGGCCACTAACTCACCAACCAGTAGAGTGCAGGGCGCTGATTGTGTTTTATGGCTTAACCTTGTTTTGTGAGACTCATCAGCACAGCTGGAAAAAACCCACTGCACAGTGAGTGCGCTCTCTAAAATTAGTACCTTGCAAAAATCAACCTTATTTTACAGGAAAACAAATCTAGACACAGAGGCGGAACATCTTTATGGATGACCAAGAAACTCACATTTGGTCATGTATTTTAAGGAGTAATCAATACTACCACTTAATGGGATAGCGCAGACAGCGAACTACTCATAACATGCACTTAATGTAGCAGATTTGACCTATTCCAGCTGCATTTATTACATGAAAATTTTCAAATATGGCTTATCTATTTCCTTATTGCCTCTACCATATAATGCATTATCACATTGCCGGTAGTCATAATGTTGTATTGTGAATGGTGATTACATTACAGCCTCAAAGTCTTTTAATTAACTTGATAAAAAAAAGCTTTGAGAAGCCAGTGTATAGTGATGCAGTGACATACAGAAATAGCTTAACTAAGCTTTGAGAAGCCAATGTATAGTGATGCAGTGACATACAGAACGACAAATGAATATTAAAGCAGCAATACTGTTTTCACAGTGTAACTTTTGCAGTAAGGAAGAGATGTAGAACAACTGCTGACTCACTGTGTATTTGCGTGCATGTGGGTGTATTCACCTGCTGTGGTCAGGGTATCCGTACATGCCTGCAGAGTCCCACTGCTCTATCGTGTGGCCTGAGCCTAGACCCCATAGATCTGAGCAATTGCTATAGACACACAAACACACACACAAAAGACATGCACACACACACACACACACACACACACAAGCACAGGCACAGGACATGTGCAAAAAGGATAAAAATAAAAGCAAATCGATGGTAAACATGAGATGTTTCATTCCAGATTAGTAGGATGAAATCACAATTATTCACAGCTGGAATCTTACTGACATGAAGGAAGGCAAAAAACAATACATGGGTGATAGGTGATCAATCTAAATCTGACAGTGATATCGGGCAATCGAGTGACACAGGAGGCTACAGGGGATGAAACGGTAGTGGACTTTTAGATGAAATGCCTTGTGCTTCAGGCTCAGAAAAACAATACATCTCTCTAAGGTTAAACACATTCCAGCTATGCCTGAACTACAACTATATGACACACATCACATTTCTGTGTATTGATGAGGAGTGTGATGTGAAGTGGGATGAAACGGTAGTGGACTATTAAAACTTTTAGATGAAATGCCTTCTGCTTCAGGCTCAGAAAAACAATACATCTCTCTAAGGTTAAACACATTCCAGCTATGCCTGAACTACAACTATATGACACACACCACATTTCTGTGTATTGATGAGGAATGTGATGTGAAGCAACAAGTCAGACAGGAAATAAATGTCTCTACACAACAATGACATGTGAATGAGGGGAAAAAGAAATTCAATACACTACACAAATTCTGTCAAGACATGACAACAGAAAAACTAGATACAACACAAACGTGTGTATACAAAGATTTTGTATGACTGACGAAAGCACACATCCCAACTGTTACCAGCTTGTTCTCTAAAGCTTTAATGCTTTTTCTTTGTATTTGATAAGCTAAGATGCAAGTGGAAGAGTCTGGTGTCTGATCAGAGTAAAGTAACTGCCAGACCTGTCTGCACAAGAACTGCTATCTTGACACTTATCAGCCTGCTCAAAGAGTCCTACAACTACAAGCTCTAAGAATACTATCTCCAGACACAGCTAATGTCTTGCCTTCTTCCTTTCTCACGTTAAGGTCACCAGCACAATCACTACAGTGTGTTTTTTTTTTTTTCCCAAAAGCCCTCTTTCTGAACAAGGCTTCTGATCCTCTTTCCACTCATCTCTATGGAACTGAATGGAAGCTAAAATACTAGAACTGCACATTATTTCAGTTATCAGTTAAGATGGATTATTTGCAAAACATCATCTGGATATTGTCACTCAGAGTCAATGCAAAATGTTTTTAAAAACATGAAACCTTTATCTTTTTCTGAGGTCATCCAGCCACCCATGCCTGCCACCTAGACACAGCTGAGCTGCTGCCCTCTTCCTCTGCCGCCACTCAGACAGAAATCTACAAAGCCCCGCACCTGCTATCTCCTGACAATCCCCCCAAACCCCCCCACAAACTACTATTTATCTTGGACTTTGGACTTTTAACCTCACTTCCCTGTTTTCAAAGGAAAGTGAGCCATGCATCAAAATGTCCGGAATGCTCTCTGCCAACGAATACCAAGTACAGTGAAGTAATACATCTTGACCTACAATGTCATGGCAGGCTTGGCCCTAACATCTAGTCGCTCTTTAGCCCAGCCAACATCAATCTGTGAAAAACGAAAAGAGGAAAAACACATTATATACTCCAGTTTAGACTCAGTTTCACTGTTTGTCAACTGCTACCTGTGCTTTAATGTGACCTGTCAAGATAATGCAAGAACAGCTAAGTAGACATAGTGGGAATGCACTTTAATGTGCATTTTCAATTATCTGCTTATCCACGATTGCCTTCTTCGCTCACTGGTTCAACACCAGCATAACAAATAATGCAAAACAAAAAAGGGGAGGCAATATGATTCATTATGGAGTTGAAAGAATGAAAGTTGTATAATCCTAACCCTGACATCCCGAGATAAAATGTAACAAAGAGAGAAGAATTACTTCCCCAATTGAGCACAGCAGCAGTGTTTAAGTAGATGTCTGACATGAAACCACCATCGCCTTATCAGAACCACTGCCAAAGTTATCTAGCCTACATTCCTCTGAGTGAAGGAACTGAGGGGTCTGACAGACACCTCAGCCTCACATGCTTCTCTTTCTGCACTTTTTATGCATTTACTTTTTTAATTTACAGTACCTCTGCTCTCTTCTCATCTACATTCGTCCTAATTCTACCTCAGCAATCACACAACTGATACAGTATGTATATCTAAAATATTAAATTTGGAATATGCAGCATGAAAGGTGTGCACTGCATGCACGAAGACTGCAATGTGATTAGATCAGTCTGGCTTCATTTGTACAGAGTACAGTGCCAGGAAATAGAGCCTTAAAGGCAGACAAACCCTTCCATGATGAAAGAGACCACAGGCAGTACGTTACCACCTCTGCTACCCTTGCACCTGCCCTGTTTATTTTTCTCATCACCATAACCAGCTTCTCACTTGTTTAACAAAGCATGTGGGGCAAAAAATGAGGTAAACACAATGCTGTAAATGCAAGTACAGTGCCATACTGTTGTCCAGCCAGATGCACACCAAATGTACTCAGATCACAGGTATAAATGGTCTTATAAATGGTCTTGAGCTCCATCAGCCACTCAAAAATATACTTAACTTAGATAAATAAACTTGCATTGGAGAAAATTTGAGAAGCAAAGCTCATAAAATCTTCACAGAGCAGCCTAGTTATCACTCCTAACTGCTGAGCCTCAGTGGACTGACTGACATTAATCACAACTGTCATGGGTCTCCTGTGACTTTGCCACTTTTGTCATGATAAAGTTTGACCTGGACTGGTGACTTGGCTCACGTACCTAATCATATGACACAGGACAAATCTATACTCAAAGGCACATGACCTGTGACCATTCATGCCAAGTATATACAGTAGCAGCAGGTTTGGGTGCAAAAAAATGTTTAGACACAAAGAAACCTCATTTATGCAAGTGTTCCTGTGAAAAGGATAAAGATTTGATGCAATTTAACATCAAACTGTTCTGTTTTCAGAAAATCTGCACAGATCTTGAGAGCTGATAAGAAGACACCTCACATTACAAGACTTCTTGACAGCTATGCAATGCTTGTAATAAGTATTAATTCATTTTATTTTCTTTTTTTTTGTTTCTTCTATTGCTTTGTCTTAAACTTTCTTAGTTTCTCATATATGAAACAGTCTGTGCGATGGAGGGGGGTGGTGTATGAACCAAACATATGATGTCAAACTGTTCTTCGCAATCAGCCAGTCAGACTGTCTTGTTTCTTTGTTTCCTTAATTAAGTATTTTGTCTACTTCTTTGTAGATTTTTATTTCCAAGAAGAGTGTACACCAACAGCATTTGTTCAGAACCAATTCAAGGACCAAGTACTTCATTAAGTGGAGTGGCCAATGCCGAGTACCAATTCAGACACTTTTTAAATTAGTCATTCATGCTGTCAGGAGTAACATAAATGTGTATCATTAGACACATCAGCATTTGGTGCACATTCGATTCTGCACTTTCCACGAAGCAATACAAGAATCTTTTTAAAAAGATGGTATCTAGACAAACCTCGTTTACAGATAAACATAAATAGGCATGTTGTAGAACACTAGTGGAATTGGTCGGACCACTCCCACAGCTCTCGCAGATGTGCCATCTACTACAATGGCTTTAGAAACATCTGTAAGACCTCATTTATACTTGGACTACTTCTCCCCTATAGATCTCTCTGAGTTGACCTCAACAATTGCTTCATCTAAATCATCAACATGGCTCCTGGACCCCATCCCGACCAGGCTGCTCAAAGACGGCTTGCCCCTAATCAACACATCCATACTAGATCTGATTAACCTCTCTCTATTAACAGGTTATGTTCCACAGGCTTTTAAAGTTGCAGTAATTAAACCTCTACTCAAAAAGCCTACTCTTGACCCAGGTGTCCTAGCTAATTATAGACCAATATCCAATCTCCCATTTATTTCCAAAATCCTTCAAAAAGCTGTTGCAAAGCAGTTATGTGACCACTTGCACAAGAATGATTTGTTTGAGGATTTTCAGCCAGGATTTAGAGTCCATCATAGTACAGAAACCACATTGGTGAAAGTCACCAATGATCTTCTCCTAGCCTCAGACAAAGGACTTGTCTCCATACTTGTCCTCTTAGATCTCAGTGCTGTTTTTGACACCATTGATCACAGTATCTTACTGCAGAGACTTGAAC